GGACTCCCGCAAAATAGAAATATCTAAACATAAAATATCTAAAACAAATAAATTGTTATTCATCTATTGCACAAAAGCAACATGAACTAATATAAAATATAATTGATTAACAGGTGCAAGCATATTCAGAGTTTCTATTTAGGCTATAACACGTGTTTGCAGCATTGAGCAATGCAGTGCTGAAATTTGCGTGCTCATGAATCCTCTCATTATAACACACGAATTGTAGACATTATGAAAGATTCCTTATGCATATATTTATTGTGTTATAACAGAGATTTGTGGGATTGCGATGAACTGAAATGTCTTTTAGAGATTATAAATGCAGCGATCTTTGCTGGCATTCTGCCATGCCAAACCATGCACGCAGCAGCCGCTTGCTTTAGTTAAAAATAACAGTGTTCTGTGAATGTTGATGCTTTAATAACAAATATTTATCGAAAGCGTGTATGCTGGGATTTCATAAATTTCATGGAGAAAAAAGTAATGTAACTAGTAATGTAACTAATTACTAATTACTTTTGAAATAAAGTAATCAGAACAGTAACGTGATTACATTTTCAGAGTAACTTGCCCAACACTGTACAAGACTATGTACTTAACTGCTTTAGTGAGGGAAAGAACTACAATGCCATGAAGCATTGCGAATGACATAAATTAAAAACTATAGATAAATATAAAACTATTCATTTAAAGTTGTTGATTATATCTATAAGTCAGTCTTGCTATGCTGTCAAAATACTTAAAGCAATCTCTTTTGAAATGATTTGCTCACCACAACCCTCTGATTGGTGGATTTTTCTGTACAGCATGGGTAATTCAGTTTTTCACAAATTCCGCTGTAAAACATGATTATTTAGAAAAGTTTAAGTAACGCAAATGGATGGCTTCAACAAAAGCATTTTGATTAACATGGATTTGCTCATTTGCTCACATCACTACACTGTTGACAGTAGACGATTACGTTTTAGCTCACAAAAATTTGCCAAAATTTTGCCTATGTGACCATGGGCCCTATTTTAACGATCTAAGCGCATGGTGTAAAGCGTACGGCGCAATTGACCTATCGGTAAGCCCCGCCCCCCTTAGTTACTGTTGCTCCCTCGGACAAACAAACGGAGTTGCTCACTGACTCACAATTACGGCTGTCAGTGTGAAAAGCTTGTCCCACAATGTTTTTGCACAATTTTGGACACAGAAGGGCCACCATTCAAGTGAGAATTAAATATTCCATGGAGGGATATATAAAAGATTTTAAAATAAATATGGTGGGTAACTCGAAGTGAGGGTTTACAGATCACAATGCAAGCGGGAAAAGTCTCATATTACGGCCGTCACAATCGCGGTTGACAACATGCAGGATCAACACTGTTCATGTACCACAGAGTACGATTAAATTAATGTACATTTAACCAGTTTAATAAGGAGAGGCACTGAAATGTAGACCTTCGTTTATGTGTTTTTGAATTACACTATATGATGTGAGAACAGTGTGCTATTTAGGTTTGTAATAGCATTGACTCACTAACTTTAATGTTAGCTAGTTTTAGCCAGATACCTTGCTGAAACGCAAGATGACATTAAGGTTCTGCTTGAGCAGATGAAAATTGTAACTTAATGAGAGAATGACAAACAGAAAATGAATGTTTTTGTCTTCATTGGGATTGGGGTTGAATGCTTAGGGACATTTTGCTCTGTTTTGTTTGGGTTTAGGAAATGTAATAAAATAAATTATATTGCCCATCCTCTCAGGATAACTGGAATTACCCCAGGCACATAGTTTTTTCATTTTCGTTGCATAAACACCATCAAACCGATGCGAGCTTCGGATCTTCCAATGTTTCTCTATGGCACTGAAACCTACAGATGTCCGAGTTCCACTCCCCACGCAACTGATACTCATCTGCCATTGGCTCATCTGCGTTCGAAGGGAGGGGCTTACCGATAGGTCAGTTGCGCTTAGGGTATGTCCGAATCCATTTTTGCTAGTTTAAGGACGGGATAAATGGTCAGCGGGCCCGGGGCATGGTCTAAAAGTGTAGTCCCTATTCTCTTAAAGGGGTCATATGATGCTGCTAAAAAGAACAGTATTTTGTGTATTACGCAAATCTTCCCACATAGCGATATGTGGGGTCGTGTTAGAAAGAGCCATTTTAGGTAGGTGTGACTGACTCTTAACTTTTATAAAGAGTATCTCTTTGGGTTTGAGACTTTAGTCTTTGCAACTTTACAGATCTTCTTTATGCACCAAGAGCTTGTAACACTCCAAAGAGAAAGGAAAAATTGAAATCGCATCATATGATCCCTTTAATGAGTAATGGGTGTGTTTTGGGCGCACAGTGGCCACTTTTGTTGGTCAGTGGCGCAGTCTATTTCAGTTGCCTCAAAATAGCAACGCACCAGCAATGCGCCTGAACACCCCTCGTTTTCAGACCAGCACGCCCATGGGCGCACAAATGCATTTGCGATTTAAACAACGTGGTGCAGGACGTGAAAATGACAGTTGCGTCGGGCTGAAACTAGTAGAAGACACTTGTGTCACGCCTGGTGCCGCATTGCACCAGGTGTATGATAGGGCCCCATATCTCTATATAAAGACAAGGCCTGCTTTTCACAATCCAGGGAAATGTAAATGGATGAAAAGTTCCAAGTCCTCCCTACATAGCTTTTCCCAGAATTACAGAAGTAAACTGATTTGTAGTTGCCATTCCATATTGACTTTTCAGTTCTTTCAGATATTTTCAAAATGTATTCTAATCTGCGGTACCATAGCTAACATGATTACCCATGTTTTTCATTCCTGTTTGGACCATATCCTCTCCGCAGACCCCGCCCGTGTTGTGAAAATGCCACCTGTCATCTACGTCCCAAGAAAGTTGCCGGGAATCATTCGCTGCCCAGTGGATGCCAACCCCCCAGTTATGTCAGTCCGATGGGAGAAAGATGGCTACCCCCTCAGAATCGAGAAGGTGCATGGACTTCCGGTGTCTCAAATATCAAAAGACTACTGACTGTTTGACAACAGTCCAGTTCACTGATTGTGCTCCTCTGTTCCTCTCACAGTATCCTGGATGGAGCCAGATGGCAGACGGAAGCATTCGGGTGGCAGAAGTTACTGAAGACTCCCTTGGCACCTACACCTGTGTGCCTTACAATGTCCTAGGTACCATGGGACAGTCCCCTCCAGCCACTCTGGTGCTAAAGGTTAGTCAATGCATCTTAATGGAAAATAATCACATTTTCCTTGAATTTTTGAGATACGTTGTGCAGTTTGTGAGGTAAACGGCATTATGTGACCCCAGGACCCCCCTTACTTCAACGTGAGGCCTGGGGGGGAGTACCGTCAGGAGGCGGGGAGAGAGCTGGTCATCCCCTGCGCTGCTTCTGGAGACCCCGAGATTCCAACCATTGTATGGAGAAAGGTACCATGAATGACACTAACCCACCACGACATTAAGTATAATGATTTTCCCCTTTCTATAGATAGATAATCATGAACTTTTGACTATTTTGTACTTTGTCAAGGTCGGGAAGCCCAGCAGAAGCAAATATAACATCTTACCAAGTGGTAGCTTGCAATTCGTGTCTCTGAGCAAAGAGGATCATGGGGAGTGGGAATGTGTTGCCACCAACGTAGTAACAAGCATCACTGCCAGCACACGCCTTTTTGTAATAGGTAAATCACTCTTAACTTACAAATTTCAACACGATGTTTCCACTTCTCAGAAGAAGAGAAACTGAGAAAAGTTGACTAGTCATCTCTATCTATCTATCTATCTATCTATCTATCTATCTATCTATCTATCTATCTATCTATCTATCTATCTATCTATCTGTCTGTTGTAGGGGTGTGCAATATCACGTTTTTTGATCATGGATGATTAAAATGTCTCCAAAATCTGCTTATGAAGAAACACCGTAGTATTGCGCTAGAGCACACATTCTATCAGTTGCAGTTCTGTCACCTCCGTCTCAATATACTGTACAACGTGACATACATTCACATCAAATTGAACTCCGCAGTAGAGTTACACTCATAGAACACTGTACTTATTCACAATCACAAAAGTACATTATTTGCATGTGCTTTAAAGCTTTGCCGGTTAAATATTTCATTCGCATGCTGTTCTGACTTGCGCTTTTTTTAAGCGTGTACACCTGAAGAACGCGCACACTAAAAAGCCTATCAAACATCACCTGATTACTGTACTAAGTTATCTTTCACAGCTGATTGCGCTAATACTGTCAAAAACACACAAGGTTTACATATAAACACAGTTGTTATGTCTAAAGTGAAAGTAAACAGTTGAGAGAAAAAATGGATGCATGCTTGTATATTAGATGTGTGCAGGTCTTAAAGTGACAGCAGACTAATACTACTAAACATGCTGCTGCTAGTCATTAAAGCTTTTTTAAACACAATTATTTTGTGTATTTGGTGTAACAGAATATGTTGACATGCTTTAATGTTCAAAAAACATTATTTTTCAAATACTGTACATTATTGTAAGTCCTCTATGCCCCGCCTCTCTCAAACGCTTCATTTTCTACAAAGTCCCTCCTTCCGACAAGCGCAGTCTGCTCTGATTGGCCAGCTGACCCAGTGCATTGTGATTGGCCGAACACCGCAAGCACTCGTCGGAAATGTAACGCCCCTTACCATAATCGCGAGCTTCATCTTTCAAAATAAATGTAAAGACAGAGCCCGAAAGGGGAACAGAGTCGCGTGACAGACACAGTGATGAATATGTGTTTGCAGTACACAAGCCCCAGTTAAGAAATCTGACTTCACTTTGATGTGTCTCTCTCGCTCTCTCTCTCTCTCTCTCTCTCTCTCTCTCTCTCTCTCTCGTGCGCGCACACACTCACACACACCGCTCTCTCTCTCTCGCTCGCGCGCGCACGCACACACCGCTCTCTCTCTCTCTCGCTCGCGCGCACACACACACACACACACAATGCTCAAAACTCCGCATTTGAACAGTCGATAGCAAATATTTAAATTAATAACAAAACAGTAGCTGATTCAGAAGCGCCAGATTGTCATAGCAAAGTCAGAATTACCTCCTCTCCTAGGTTCACGAAACGGTCATCCATAAAATGCATTGCTGTTCTGTTGTAAGTCATCTTAAAGATTCCTAAATGCATCTACTTTCAGAAGGCCAAATAAAGTGCTTTTGCTTTCGTCTAGAATCACACAGCGTCTCCATGACATGCTGCTTCAACACTGACTGCGGTTACTGAAACCACGCCTTCTTTCTTTGCGTGAACATTTGGGCGGCATTATGCTAATATTTCCACATAGTGAGGTAGATATGTGGGGGCGTGTTAGAACGAGCCATTTTAGGGGGGCGTGGCAGAGTCTTAACTTTGATAAAGAATATCTCTTTGGTTTTGAGACTTTTGTCTTTGCAACTTCAGGGATCTTATCTATGCACAATCAGCTTGTAACACTCCAAAGAGAAAGGAAAACTTGAAATCGCATCATGTGACCCCTTTAAAGGGATAACTGGTCCCCATTGACTTTGGTAGCAGTCAACTGTTTGGTTACCCACATTCTTCAAAATTACTTTTATGTTCAACAGAAGAAACTCAATCAGGTTTAAAACATTTAAGACATTAAAACTTGAGAGTGAGTATCTGTATGTTCTCCATTTTTCTATCTATCTATCTATCTATCTATCTATCTATCTATCTATCTATCTATCTATCTATCTGTCTATCTGTCTATCTGTCTGTCTGTCTGTCTGTCTGTCTATAACATTGCACTGTGAAATAACTTTCATAATTACATTAGTTTTATTAATTTAATTAAATTTTTGTACTGTACATTTTTGTCACAGGTCAGCACTCCATGTTCAATTTTGAAGGTTCTTAAGGACACAAAATATGTCAGATATGTGATTTCTCAACATGTGCCAGATAGGAAGTGTAGGCTAGGACATTACAATTTCCAGCCAAGCGGCACAAGTGAGTCATTACAGTAGGGGGCCGTGTAGCTCGTGGGATCTCTAACTCAGCTGTCACATCTGAGAGTTTGCTCTCGATTAACAAGTGATGTGTCAGCGGGCACACAACCCCACACACAACGTTATTTGTTTGGTGATGGACTGGTGTCATGACAGTCTAAAGATTATGTTTAATGAGGAGCAATTAACAGATCCTCCGCAACTGCTTGGTGCCGATAAGAGATGTGTTGGAACTCCTGAATCCATCCTCCACTTCAGCGTCTTCATCGTCCGGCACTCTCCTGATATTATCAGACTGGGTCAGTCTGTGCATGGAGTTAGTTTATTGCCTGGTCAGAGAACATAAGTGAGAAGAGGTTCAGCTCAGACAAATGGATCTCCTGTTCATCAGTTTCTCATAAATCTGACAAGGCTAAATCCATCTTGGAAAGTAGTTGTTTTGGAACAAACAGTCTGGCCTAGACCTTAAAGATTTTGGGTTAATCACTAAGAATGAATTGCGGCCACTAATAGACAACATCCCAAATGTCTCTCCTAACAATGACCTTGCTGCTTGTAAATGTTTAGTGAATTAGTTCCTTTACATTATATTCAGCACAACACATAATGGATTCTGTCTGGTCTCATTTTGGTTTTGGTAGATCTTGGTCTCGTTTTGGTAGATGTGTGATTGATTTACTCCAATGAATATTCACTTCTATTCAAAACTCTGGGGTCAGTAAGATTTTTTTAAATAAATAATTATTTAATTCAGTGAGGACACATTAAATTAATCAAAAGTGACAGTCAGTGCTTAAATTGTTACAAAAAAAAATCTATTTCCAATAAATTCTGCTCATTTAAACTTTCTATTCAACGAAAAAAAATCCTTAAAAATCCACAAAAATATTAAGCAGCACAACTGTTTTCAACATGGATGAAATCAGCATATTAGAATGATTTCTGAAGGATAATGTGAATACATTGTAAATAATTGAAAACAGTTTTCTAAACTAAAAAAATATTTCACATCATTACTGTTTTTACTAATGTTTTGATCCAATAAATGCAGACTTGGTGAGCAACAGATACTTATTCCAACCCCAGACTTTAATTGTAATTAAGAGTTTCTTCCTGAGCGGCATTAAAAAAAACACACATAAATAAATGGTACAAAAAATGCATAAAACAAAAAGGTGTTATCCTGTGCAAAACTTGCTAAGGTGTTTCTTGGTGCTTACTTATTGGCCTATGCAGGTCAAACAAGCCCATCCCCAAGTCACTATGATATTCTGGCTTGAAAAGTCTCAGCTCCACAAGCCACATGACCTGATGTGTTATTTATCCAATGTAATTTATTTAGGAAGAGTTATGTGGCAAAGTTAAAGGGGTCATATGACATTGCTAAAACGAACAGTATGTTGTGTATTTGGTGTAATGCAATGTGTTTATGCGGTTTAAGGTTAAAAAAACATTATTTTCCACATAATGTACATTATTGTTGCTCCTCTATGCCCCGCCTTTCTGAAACGTGTCGATTTTTACAAAGCTCATCGGTCTTAAAAGCGAGGTATATGCTGATTGGCCAGCTATCCAGTGCGTTGTGATTGGCTGAATACCTCAAGCGTGTGACAGAAATGTTACGCCCCTTACTATACTGTGATGCCCTGTCCCGGAGTGACGAGACAAAAACAATTAAACCCATTACAAACGAGGCATTTGTTGCATCCAGTGGGGACATAATTACTGATTATAATGACTTATACTGTCTTTTTAAGCGTCGCATATCGTAAACATAAAACCATGTCTGCATTTGTGATCGGAGAAACAAGAAGCGCTACTCTACACTGCTCAAAACTCGCGTTTGAATCGTCATTGGCAAATTCTTTAAATATAAAAAAACATACTTACAGGCTGTGAGTCAGAAGCACCAGACTGTCCTTGCAAAGTTGGAACTGCCCCACTTTATAGAAACAGACACCGGCATTGTAGGCTACTCTCACAGGAAACAGTCCTCATCCTCCGCAAATTGCGTTGCACACATCTGAATATTTGGGTTGAACTGTTCTGGAACAGTGTTGTAAATACAACTTAACCACTGATTTCTAGTTGTGTCCTCTTTTGGAATGCCAAACAAAGTAGTTTCACTTTCACAACGAAACACACAATGTCTACACGACATGGCGGCGGCAACAACAATACTACAGCGAGAATAAAAGTTACGCCTTCTTTCTTTGCGTGAACATTTGGGCGGCGTTATGCAAATCTTCCCACATCGTGACGTAGACAATGTTAGGCATGTTATAATGAGCCGTTTTAGGAGGGCGTGGTTGACTTAACTTTTATAAAGAATATCTCTTTGGATTTGAGAACTTTTTCTGTTTCTGAATATCTCTTTGGATTTGCAACTTTACAGATCTGCTTTATGCACCAAGAGCTTGTAACACTCCAAAGATAGAGGAAAAATTTAAATTGCATCATATGACCCCTTTAAATACTTTGGGATTTTGGTTAATTCAATCCATAACATTTAGGATGAGCAATAGTACTAGCATTTGCAGACACTATCAATTAAAAATAACCCTGTTTCAGGCACTAGTCCACATGCGCCAACTAATGTCCACGTGTCAGCATCCACAAGCTCCGCTAACGTTTCCTGGGAACCTGGATATGACGGAGGCTTTGAACAGACGTTCTCGGTCTGGAATGGCCCGGTGTAAGTCATGTCAGCACCCCCTCTAATTATAGTTCCTTCCTTCTTTTTTTTTCTAAATGTACTTGTGACCTGTTGTAGTCTTTTTAATTCTAATGTGTTAAAGCTATGGATTACATGGATATGTAAATGCAATGAATCAATGGGAATGTTTAAGCTCAATTTATTTACATTTCACTGTATTTCAAGAAATAAGTCATATGCAATGTTCTTGTTATTAAAGTTTTAAAATGCAACTCTTTGGTATAATCCAATAGAAAGGTGAAGAATGATTTAGGGCCACATGACTGGCTGTCCATACCTGTGCCCGGCTCTCAGACGTGGTTGGTGGTCCAGGGGTTGGAGCCAAAGACTGCCTATCAATTTAGTGTGTTGGCCCAGAACAAGTTGGGCACCGGCCCCTTCAGTGAGGTAGTCACTGTGACTACAGGAGGTGGGTGACACTTCTACACAAACTAAACCTTGTAATGGACCTCTGAATGACCCTCCACATGAGATATGTTTACAACCACTCTTTATCTTTCCCAGGGTATCCCATTAGTACCCCTGAACCACTGGTGCTTCTAACTCCACCACGGTGCCTCACAGCCAACCGGACACAGCAGGGTGTTTTGTTGACATGGCTTCCTCCGGCCAATCACTCTTCACCAATCGACCGTTACATCATCGAGTTTCGTCTTGGGGAAAGGTGGGAGGTTCTGGATGACTTGATTCCTGCCACTGAGACTGAGATCATAGCAAGAGATCTTATTCAGGTAACACTTATTGCTTTAACATCACTACTAACATACATGGAAAATATACAGTGGACTCTGCAAATAAATCAAATAAATGTAGCCTTGAAGAGCATAAGAGGCTTTCAAAAACATTTTTAGAAACGTACTGACCAATACTTTTGTATGGTATGTGTGTACTCTTTCAGTTACCCATAAATAATAAAGGTGAAGATAAAGTCAGTGTTATTTGCAGTTTGAAACCCAATTTACTTTTGTCGTGTGATGTATTTCTGAGTGAAAATAATGTCTATTTTAAAGAAATTCAATTTAGTGATGTCCATCTTCTTTCAGAGCATTGCAGTTCTGTGACTATTTGAAGATGCAGTGAGGGAATGCATTTTCGCTGAAAAGCTTAGAGGATGTCATTTTAATTCAGTCTGACATACAGCAGAGTCTGCTACAAATGTTCTTGTTACAAATCTGTTGGTAGATCTGACACTTCAACCTGCTGGCCTCACAGGATTTGTGACCCACTGACCTGTTTCTCTGTCTCCCAGGACTCTTGGTATGAATTCCGAGCACTGGCTGTAATGGATGATCTTGTCAGTGAGAGCAGTAATGTGGTGGGAGTGTCAAGTACAGGTGAGAATAAGGGCCGTCACTAAAATGCACCAATTCATTGCTTTAGCCACCTTTAGCTTCACTGCCTTCTGCTGCTTATTGTAGTTAGTGCCCTACTGTATGTTTTGTTGTTGTTGTTGTTGTAGATGTGATACAAGGGTGACATGCACCTAATTTTTGGAGGGGGCACCAGTGGCAGTCCTGGCTTATTTAAGATATGACCCCAAAAAAAAGTTCAAGTTAATTGCCGATTTAGCTAATATAGTTGTTTAAAGGGGTCCTATTATGCTTTTTCACCTTTTCAACTTTAGTTAGTCTATAATGTTGCTGTTTGAGCATAAAAAATCGGTAAAGTTACAAAGCTCAAAGTCAAATTCAAAAGGAGATATTTTATTTAACAGAAATCACTTTTCAAAAACTACAACGAACGACTCGTTTTGACTACAACGCATATTTTCTGGGATTTGTGATATCATAAATATCAAAACAAAATCAAGACTTTGTAAAAGAGCATAATAGGAACCCTTTAATAGATCACCATGCATTTTTGTTGTATGATAAAGCTGAAGTGTCAATAGGACTGACTCAATTTAGATGTGATTGCTGCCACAGGATGTTAGATAAACTTTTCCTTACCTACAAAAAAAGGTAATTAATAAAGATAATAATTTGTTTTTGGAAATTGCATTCAAAATCCTCTTGGCTCAAAAATTTGAAAGCCACATGCCCTCTCGATCTAAATAGGCAAGGTGCCTCTAATCTGAAAGGCTGCAGTTGTGTTAACACTATACTGTAGTCTGCTTTATAATGCACACTAACTGAATCACTGTCATTGATCATGTTAACCTGCTTTTGTGAATATATGCTTGCTGCGTTCTTCCATCCTAATTTCATGTTCTGGAGTGTGTTTCCTCTCTCAGACCCCTTCCCTCCCACAGAGATCTCAGACGAGGGGCTGGCCAAGCCAGTGGTGGCCGGCATCGTGGCCACCATCTGTTTCTTGGCGGCTGCCATCCTCTTCAGCACGCTTGCTGCATGTTTTGTCAACAAGCAGCATCGTCGCAAGCTCAAACGCAAACGAGGTAAGTCCTTCTTAACTTCAAGACACAGTTATCTGTCTCTCTTGTGTTAAAGCTAAAATGTTGTTTTGTTGTGGTGCATATCACAACTTTATTGGATTTGTAATTTTTTTTTAAACATCTTTTCAGTCTATATTGCATTGCATACCAGCTTCAGCATTGCAGTGGTTGAGATAAAGATCTGAAGTATATTGTCATGCTGATGTGGCATTGTGTGATTTGTTCTTAGACCCTCCACTATCGATTACGCACACAAGGAAAAGCATCGAATCTCCGTAAGTACCAGTGCATAGTAACATCCATCATACTTTGCACTTCTGCAAATCTTTTGACTATCAGGCTCATGGCTTTAGAGAGAGAGAGAGCATGTACAGTTTGAGAAATCAAACAGCTGACCCTAGCAGCTGCTGTGTTACCGTGAGGGATTCATGGAGGAGGATTTGAGTGGTCACTAAAGTGGCTGCTATAAATGCATCTGTGCTTACCTCTGCTTCTCAGCAGTGAGATGCATTGATTTGCCATTATGAACAATCTTCTCAAGCTCTTTCTTTTTTTTTTTGCCATCCAGTCAGGTTGTGATAGAACCTTTCAATAGCACAAGAATATAACATAAACATGATGCTTATCCCCCAGCTCCTCTGAATTGATCAGTGCAGGCATGGCAGCATGTCACTCTTACAATTAACCAGAGCTAAAGGAAAGAGAACATTAAGGGTAGCACCTCCAACCCAGTTCAAACTGGGACTCATGCTCTTATCCGATTCCATTGTGGTCTTCATAGAGCTGCAGTCTCATGCTCCCATCCCACCCATTTCCACATAGCAGTGTGGAACCATAGTCTGGTTGACGGCCGACTCTGCCCCGTCTCTATTGTGTTTTTGTCACCGCAGGCCTCCTCTTACCCCCTTGCCTGGCATTGAGCCCTACTGGGAAGAGCCAGACAGGAGCAGCTACAGGCCCCCATCCACCAGCCCTCAGTGAGTGCTTGCACCTGCATCTCTCTCTGCAGCAGGCGCTAACATGTGCCTGTCTGCCGTAGCTGCATGATGTCAGTTAGTGGTGCAGAGCTAAACTGCTTCTTTAGGGGAATAGACAACTTCAGCCCTCAGCTGCTCCAAATTGTGACACTTGTTTGACCACTTATAGCCAGCAAGATGGATTATTATTGAAGAGTTGGGTGAAGATATAGTTTAGCTGATATTATGTTAGCTCACTGGTGCCTGTACTGACTTATCTGTTTCTATGTCCTGTCCCCATTCTGTTGTTCTCCATTATCTCTCACCCTGACATCGTCTTTCACTTTTATTTAAGATGGCCTTTAAATTAAGATCAGTGCTTATTCTAATTACTGTTATAAAAAACATGTGGATAAAGGCTAATTACCCTGAATTTTGTTAATTTTAAAATAAGTGCTCAAGAAAGTGTAATGCCATGTCATTTCCTTTTGAATTATATTCCATGTTTTAAGATGGAGTGATTCTTGTTTTGATAGTGCTGATTTTAAGTTCTGGTATTCCCCAGAGCTCAGTCCTAAGCCCCATTTCTTTTTTGATTGATAGGCTGTCCTCTGGGAAGATCAGTCCTGAGAGCATTACTTCCTCCCGGTCCCCATCTCTGGCCAGCATGGGTGGCCATGGTCTTTACGTTAAGAAGTTGCCAAGCCCTAGGAAGGAGAAAGAGCTTTCCCTCTATATGAAAACCAAGAGAGCAATAACCAGTAAGAAGTACAGCGTGTCCAAGCACGAGGCTGAGGTCACCACACCCATCGAGCTGATCAGCCGGGGACCTGATGGCCGATTCGTCATGGTTCCCAGTGACATCGACACGTCCCTCAAGCCACGACGCATTGAGGGTTTTCCTTTTGTGGAGGAATCAGACTTGTATCCTGAGTTCCGCCAATCAGATGAGGAGAACGATGACCCAGGGCCCCTACCCCCAGTCATGGCCACCCTCAGGCCCCAGATATCCCCTGTGTCCTCCAGCCAGGAGTCCTACATGCAGCCCCCAGCCTACAGCCCCCGGTTCCAGAGGCCTATGGAAGGTATGAGCATCTTGGAGGGTAGTCGGCTTCAGGCCACAGGGCAGAGCCGGGTCTCCCATTTTCACAGGGTCTTCCCTCCAGGCCCCTTCTATGGCTATCTAGGTAGTGGTGCTGAGGTGGAGCTTCACCCTCCTTTTTACATGCCTGATGTTAGTCCACGTAGCTCTGCCATGTCCTCCTCACCTTCATACCCCTCTGAGGGGCCGTTCCGCCATCCCACCATCCCAGAGGAAAGGGAGGAGCTGAGGATCCATGAGTTTGGTGCCTCCGGCCACGCCCTCCCACTGGTCTCCCTCCTCATGGCCACCCTCAGGCCCCAGATATCCCCTGTGTCCTCCAGCCAGGAGTCCTACATGCAGCCCCCAGCCTACAGCCCCCGGTTCCAGAGGCCTATGGAAGGTATGAGCATCTCGGAGGGTAGTCGGCTTCAGGCCACAGGGCAGAGCCGGGTCTCCCATTTTCACAGGGTCTTCCCTCCAGGCCCCTTCTATGGCTATCTAGGTAGTGGTGCTGAGGTGGAGCTTCACCCTCCTTTTTACATGCCTGATGTTAGTCCACGTAGCTCTGCCATGTCCTCCTCACCTTCATACCCCCCTGAGGGGCCGTTCCGCCATCCCACCATCCCAGAGGAAAGGGAGGAGCTGAGGATCCATGAGTTTGGCGCCTCCGGCCACGCCCTCCCACTGGTGCATAGCCCTCCCTCCTCTCGCTCGACCGAGATCTGGCAGCCTCCTGACTTCCCCTTTCTAGGTCAGGAGGGTCCCCGTCTCGCTCTTCCACCACGTCATTCCTCATATCTCCACCGGGACCTCCCTGAGCCCCCGCCATATCCCTCCCATAGTCGTACTCTTAGCACCACCTCTCAGCTCCCTTCAAGCTCTGCTTTTCTCCAGCTGGAGGCCCCTAGAGCCCACCTAAGCAGATCGCCCAGCAGGTTTCCACTTCAGGGCCCTTCAGCCAAGCATATAACTATGCAACAGGCCCAGACTCTGGGGCAGTTGAGACACACTGCCCACGGTATGGGCGTACCAGTGTTGCCTTACTTAGGCACCACAGCCCGCATGGGGAGCCCAAGCACACTGCACAGTGAGAGCTCGGACGGCTGGAGATCTGAGGCCCAGCCTTGGCTAAGCCCCAGGGCGGCACGAAGGATGGATCTCGGCCTGCAGCAGGTGGTCCTGCAGCCGTCACGACTCTCCCCTCTCACCCAAACCCCTCCCAGCTCACATGCCGGCTCTCCAGACATTCTCGTCCGCCCTCCTCCCCGCCCCAGTATCCTGCGGTCTTCCCGCTCTCAAGAGATGCCCGAGAGTGCCCGTCACCCCGCCAGTGTCTCCTTTTCCCGAAGGTCTCTCTCCTCTTCCCCTGCCACTTCACCTACCCAAGGCCAGAACGGCCAGCGGCCCAGCCTCAGCTACCATGCCCACATGGCCTTTGCCACAGCCGCGGCCAGCTACCCCTCCCAGTCCCCTTCACCCCCTGCGGAGAGCAGTGATGCTTTCGGCCAGATGCCATCTCAGAGAAGGACAGATGAGGAGATGCTCCCCTCAGAACCCTCTCCAGGGTAGGTGAACTGTACCATTGGAGGCTCCAAAATGACAAAGGAGATTGTTATTCATCATCTGTACCGCAAAAGCAATGCTTTCATGCTTTTGCGATTTTTGATTAAAATATTTTTACATGTACATCTTACTATGAACTATTTACATATGCAAAAATGTCCGTGTCCTCCAGTATAACTCCTTATTGGGTTCACAGGATAAATTTCCATACTTTTTTATTTTCTTCAAATTCTATTCTTCTTTAACCTTTGAACAGTGGGATTTTGATATAGGAAATTATCATAATGTATAACGTTTTCATGATTAAGGATTTTCTAGTGCATCCATGATGATCCCATGGCTCTTCCTTCTTTGCCCTCTTTCGTGGGCTGATCACATCACTCACCCTCTCCAGCTCATTTCCTTCCATTTCTCTCACTTCCTCTAACTCAGGGCTTTGACCATCAAGGTGGCCTTCATTGCCAGGGATGAGTGTGCACTCATCTCTTGCAACACTCATCCTCATCTAGAGTAGAGACGACACTTTTCTGTGGAGACTCTAGTAGTCTTACCCTCTTTGTTTTTGATTGATCTCAGCTATCTGGGCAGCATTGTTGTGACCAGGTCCTCTACACCACAATAGGTAAGGGTCGAATCCATGTCTGAAAGGGGAGGGGTTTGCAGGCGGGGTCTTAAATCATTCTCATTTAAAGGGGAATGACGTTTTTGACCATTTTTTTATTACATGATATCAGTTATAAAAAAATTGGTAAATATTCTGAATAGTTTTATTGCTGGAATATAAACAAGGCCATTTTTTCAGCAATGCTTATCAAAGTATTTCTGCGATTATTAAATGCAGGCAATTTTTTCAGGAAAATTTGCACTTCTGCCATTTTAGAGGCACACTTGGATATTCCCCTTTAAAATTTTGTTTCCATGTACAAAACTATCATGCATGCCTTTTCTAAATACTCTTCCTCGATGCCGAATAAGTAACAGCAGTTCTCAAACTAAAATTTCTTTAACATTTTGTCGTGGTTTGGTTCCTTTCTTTTATGTGACTGTTCTTTACTGGCCATTCTCCCCTCCCTGCCATCTCTTCTCCTGTCAGCATGGTGAAGCCACTGTACAGTGTATTCATGGTAACCAGAGTGTGTTTGATGTGGCGGACTTTAGTGCTCAGTCATGTCTACCACCCCCCCTCTATTAATCACTTTCACTTTCTCTTTCCACAGCCTCAGCAGCAGGGGAGACTGTCTGTAAACACTTTGTGTTTCTGTGCCTTGTGAACACATGAGTTATTGGCTGACTCTTCAGTATGGACGTTTGAGTGTCATGATCTCTGCCATGATAGAGGAATGGCATGTGCGAATAAAAGACTACACTTTACAAGAAACGTGACCTCTGTGGTCAGTTTAATAGGAAACCAGTGAGCTTACTGGGAAACAGGAGATTTTGGCTAGTTGTTATTTGATTGGACAGTGCTGGCAGCATGGCAGCAGTGTACAACATGAGGTAAAAGGTTTATTCATGCTAATTTAGGTGTATTCTGTAGTAAATGAATGGTGAAAATGCTAAATTCAACTCACCAGACTAATTGAACTAACACAACGTGCTTTTAATTTGCAGAGTACCCATCTAATGAGGAAGAGTCTTTGTTTTTATTTAGTTTTTTTATGATGATGATCAATGAAACGAGGCCAAGTAATATTATCAAGATTTCATTTTGATAAACAGTATTTTCTACATAATATTTAACAACACTTGCAATTTGCCAAAAGTGATTAATTGCTCAATTGAACAGTACATGTTGATGAATGGTACATTTGTCATGAAGGTTTTGCACTTGGCATTGGGGCAGCCAGTGTTTCCTGTTGGGGGCTAAATCTCAGTTTGATCAGGCCGGTGGAGGGCAGCGCACCCTAGTGGCGGTGTGAAGTAATGCATCATTGTGTTTGTCTCTAACAGGGAGCATCTAGGTGCAGTGAGAGTCCCTGCAGGGTCTGAGAGCTTTGAAGCACTGATTTATTATTGTATTAATAAAGCCAAGAAATCAACAGCCAACAAGAACAACAACTCCAGATTCAAGAAAAGGACAGGTCAGTTTCACCCATACATTACATACTGGGAGAAATGGACATGTTATCTCCCCTGATGTCCTAACTACATGCTTATTTGTTTATTGATTTTAAGAAACCACCCAAGCATGCTAAAAACAACCACCCACAACACCTTAACATTGTGGCAGTGTCAGTGAGGTTGCATGCACAGGCAACGCTCACATTTTCTTCCGAAAATGTCAAAATCTATTCTGTTGCTGTGTCTCATTTGCTCTGCTGTCTCTAGATGTGTCCACCTCTCAGACCCAGCAGCCGCATGCATCTCAGGCCTCTGAGCAAAGAGAACATCTCAGCTCTCCCTCAAAGAAAAAGTGGAAAAGTACACTTAGAAAGTCCCCCTGTCTTCATCTGTCCTCTCTGCTGCGTTGGCTTCACCCCAGAGAAGACAGAAAATCCCTCCTGGCCAGTATGGACCCTGCCCCCTCAAACTATGGTTCTCTGCTCTGAGAGCCCCCCCAAACACACTAAAACTTTTCCTGTGGGGCGGATCGTCTCCTTGTCCATTAGCAAAAATGTACAATGGACAAGCTCTCAGTACTGTTTTGTAATCAGTCTAAACTAGGTATGATTTATTATGTTCTTCGGTTGGCACAATATACTACACATATCTGTATTTTCTGTAAATTTACTCAAAGAAAAAACATACAGGGGTGCTTTTTTGGAAGAAACAGAAAAGAACAGGACAAAAGCTTTTCATTTGATAATAAAAGAAAATAATAGCATTCCAATACATGCTAGGAAAAATCTTGCTGGACACTTTAGTTTTTGTCATAATGTTGTCAGAACTGTGTATATTGTGAAGGATAGAGTTAAATGCTCTGTACAAATATGTCTCTCAAGACGTGATAGTTACTACAGTTTTTTTTTCTTCCTTCTACAAAATATACCTCAAAAAAAGAGAATAGAAAAAAAAGAAAAAGAAAAGGAATAAATAATCTGGAACATATTTCAGCACTTCTACCATATTTTGTGCAAGCTAGTGCAATTAATTTTGGATGACATATTAGTGTTAAAGCTTTGACAGCATTACAGAATATGGGGGAATAATTGTAAGCCCAGAAATGACAATTTATTTATTTATAAAATATGAAATATGAAATATAAAGCACAGAATATCATAGAAATTGTAAGCTTGAAAAGAATGACTGCAGTACTGGACTGGTCCTGCGACAATGTTTGAACAGTTATTCAGATTTCGTAAATTCCATGCAAAGGCAGGTGGAATTGAAAACTTGCTTTCTTATTTATTTTTTAAATAATTGCCATTATATCTGACTAAAATTATTGGACAGCTTTAAGGCACTTTTTATCTGTGTTTAATATTAAGACTAATATTAGCCCCCTGCTGAAAAATGATTCAGGTTCACATTTAGAAATATCCTTTTTGACATGTTCAGATGGCATAAGTGCAGATGTAATATTTCAACTGAAGTAGAATTACTTGGTTCTTGTCTTGCACAAATGTAGTTAGAAGTGGTGAAATGCATTATTAATCTTTTCGTCACTTCCTTGAAGTAAATCATTTGTTATATGTTTGCTTTGGACATACAGTACACCAAGGAATGACAGTAGATATTGTGCAGACTAATGAAGACATCAATATAACATAGAAAAATGAAATAGTCCTTATTCTAGTCAGTTGAAAAAAAGATTACCAGTCTTCTTGGTTACTTACAAAAGTGAACCTCCAAAAGTAGCTTGAATCTTTTTGAAAAAAAAAAAAAGGAAATTGTATTGTAATCTTTACTATTTGCCATCCATCACAGCTCATCTGATGACATAGCAAACAAAGTTTGTGTTATTTGAATTAATGATGAGTTTAGTATTTCTGAAGTATGTTAATTGTCTCTAGAGTTCACTAACAGCTGCTGATCTGCTACCTACAGTGAAAGCTAATCGAGCGTGTGTTAGTGTAGTTTAACCGATGGTGAATGTATGATTTGCTCTTAGAAGTTCAGATTTATCTGGATATTTTCAATGTGATGTTTCTCTCTTTTACGCGCCGATGCGAACAGCTCCAAAATTAATCTTCTTCTTCTTGAATTTAATAATGAGGTACAGCTTAATGGGAAATTGAATGAAATCTCATGCATTACTTGAATAAGGCTGAATATCCAAGCAGGAAACACTGGGGGAAATTCTGTGCATAGAGATTTGTAGTAGCCATTTTGAGTTTAGAGGATTTGACTTGAGTGCCCAAAGGGCTGTTTACTTTGTCTTTCCTTTCATACAAGTTGACGTGAAAACGACTGCTCAGATATCTCACAGTAAATTTGAGCTATTCAGTATTAGGTCAGCAGACTCCATTGCTTATTTCTATGTACGTCTGCGTCATTAGGTGTGCACGATTCGTAAGGCTGCTTTAATCGTGTAGTCTCTGAGAGGAGAAGGGCAGTGTTTGTTTTTAGATATTCCTGATTACCTGCCTTTAGCTGTCGGGAGAGAAGTGTTAAACTTAGACTTAACTCTGTTTTTGCTACATGTTTTGTCAAGTTCTGTCAAGAACTTGTTGCTAACAAGTCCTACAACAACCACATAATGTTTACATGATCTAGAAATATAACGTGCAAGGATGTAGGCACATTGTACACATTATGACTTGGTGCTATGTCTTTTTGAACTCGTGGTGCTGTGGTTCAGAGGTTAACACACAAACTCACGCACAGTCCTCTGTCTTAAACTAACTAAACTAGCTCTGTCGTGATTTCCGTTGTCGAGTTCTCCTGGTGAGTAGGACTGCAAGCAATAAAACCTCACAGGGCAGGTCCTGTGCGCTCACTATCTTTCAGTATGAAAACGGTTAAAGTTGTTAAATAAAGTTCGGCCTTTGACATTCAATATGTGCTTACATTATCGCGTGAACGTTCGCTGTCATCATGAATAAAAACCTGCGTATTTAGAAAGATTTATAAAGAAGAACTTGCCAGTCTTAAGGAGGCAACATATCAATGTATAATCCATGAAATGTACCCACGGTATGATAGTAAATTTTTCATTTAGCATGGAAAGTACCTGGTAACTCAAGTAGGTGGCGGTCTGACACGTCAAGCAGCGGCATTTCTGTTTTATAGTTTTTTTTCTTGGACACGATGGAGCGATGCATCCTCGCATAAAGCTGTCACGCTGATTTAAGATGCACATGCAGTGTCGCTGTATATCTGTGGATGGTGATTGACGGCATTTTATTCAGCTCTGGTCTTTGAAGGGAGAACCCGACTGAAAAGTTTCTCTTGAATATATATGATACTGTACAGGTAGATACGCCCCCCTTTGCTTGTGTAAGAGGGCTCATTTGAAGGAAGTGTCATATCAACTCTTTGATTGCCTGTAGCCTATACAGTTTTGTGCTTACTTCTTATGGTGCTTCGTGAAACTTTATTTTCTTTTTTGTGTTGATTGAACAGAACCTAACCTTGCATAATCAAGATATTTCACTCATTCGGACCTATCTGTCTTGTTTCAGATAATGTACATTTTGTTCTCGATTCTTTTGCTGTTCATATTAACCAGCACTGAAAACTTAGAATGTAATACTGCATTATGCACTAATTTACGACTGTTTTAACATTAAACCTCATACTTAGCATATTTCAAATTGCATATTTCAAATTGCATTGTGCTCTTTAACTGCTTTTCAATTTGTGTTGTACATTGTTTACAGATTATATTATCTAAAGATGTGTTCTGGGCAAACATGTTTTTCATCCTGATCACTTTACATGCAATGTATAAGAGACTGTTCTTATGTGAAGAAGACTGTTCTTTTTTTCAGATTTATTTGATTGAATGACTTGATCGAAGGCTTCTTTTGTTAATTAATCTCATTCATTTCAGGTATTATTCTTAAACAGTATGGTGCTGTACCAAAGCCTTATGTACAATATTATTATGATGCATTGTTCGATTCTTCTGCCACTGCTAAGGAATTCTCCAAATTGCTAGACAACTCTGATTATGAAACAAGGTGCAGTGTGCCCCTATCTTCTTGTCCCTGATTAGTACTTTGCAGTATTTTTCTTGGGCATTCGGTGTCTCCACATACTCAGATGTTAAGATATGGTGCCTGGTGTGTCTTCATGCTGCTAGGAGTAAATGTTAAAGATGTTTTGTATCTGTACTACCAACTATTTAAGTATGACATTGACCTCCACAATAACTCAGCTGGACACTTCGATTAAGCATCTTGATATTAAAATGGAACAACCCTGGAGTAAGCAAAGGCATTTTTAGAGAATAAAGGCAATCCCATTGTTATTTTATTTTTATTCTATTGCTTTCATCATTTTTTAATAAGTCTTGCTCTAGAATAAGACCCCAATCAAAAAGAATATGCTATCCTGACAAATGAATTATCCTTGTGAGTTACATCAATACCAGACCTGGGAATGAAACATGGAGTGTTAAAAGTGTGTGTGTGTGTGTGTGTGCTGTCTTTAACAGCTCAATTGAAGTTCTGTATAGCGGAGCCGTTCAATTTGCATTGTTTACATCACCAGATATGCCCAGATATGCACATTTTGGCAAGCTCTATTAGGTTGACATTTTCCAACGGTTTGGTCCATGTAATAACCCCCTAAAACTTTTTGTATTTTGATATAATAAAAAAACCAACAACAAT